GGGATCTAACTAAACAAAGTCTGTTAAGCAGCCTGATCACACCAGAGGAGCCAGTTGTAAATCTTAAGATCCTCTTTTAACTGAGCATGCAGAAATGAATTATGGAGATTTTGGTTTAACTGGATTTAATTTGTGAATGTATGTGCTAAGTTTGGATTGGTGTGGTTTGGGAGGATGTGAGCTGCAGAAGCAATGTCGGTTAAGAAGGGGTCATCTGGAGATTGATCCTCAACAATCATATTATGAAGAATAACTTAACATGTCATGATCCGCATGACATCATCCTTTTCCCATAAACAACCCCCAACAGTCAGTACATGCCAACACGCTTGAAGGACGCCAAAGGTTTGCTTGATGTCCTTCCAAGCCGATTCTTGAAGCTTTGCAAAGTGAGTTGAGGCACCACCCTGCGTATTTTTGATCAAACAGACAAGAGTTGAACATGGTGGATAGATGCTATCACATAGATAGTAGCCGTTGATGTTGAAGTCGACGGCATCCTCAGCACCAGATATTAAAAAATCAAACAGGTGACTGTGATGGAGAATGTTGATATCATTCAAGGCCCCAGGTCTTCCAAAAAATGCATGCCAAATGCATAGATTCTTGCTTGCTACAGCTTCTAAGACAATGGTCGGTTTTTTCTCTTTGCCTTTGTACTGGCCAGCCCATCCAGACGGGCCAGTGCATGCCATCGATGCTGCCAATACAACCAGGTAATCCATGTTCTTTGTTCTCTTGCAAGATTGAGTTTAGCTCCTCTTGATTGGGTGGTGGGAGGTACTCTGACCGAGTTCGATGATGTGAGTGACAAAGTTTTTCAGTGTTTGTAGCGCCGTCGTCTCACCTAGCCAAATGTACTTGTCGGTTGAATCCGCACTGGTGCCATACGCAAGCTGTTGGATGGCGGCTGTGATCTTCTGCTGAGGAGAGAGTCCAATTGTTCCACAGCAATCCTATATCCATCCAAAAACAGTCAGAACCAGAATCAAGAACAAGATGATGTGATTGAACTTACACTCTTGAGAATCCAAAAGTGATCATGTTCTTGCAGATTGTGACAGAGCCAATCAAATATCCCTCGACTCATTTGGAACCGTTGTTCAAACATCCGGTTGATGTAGACTGGATTCTCATCAAAGTAGTCGGCCATGAGCCTCTTTTGACCTGCAATCCAATCTTGGTTGATAACCATTCTTGGCCCTCCAGAGCTCCTCTTTTGGGGGCCTAGAGACTGAGTTGAGGAGGCAATAGAAAATCTCCTCTTCCATGGAGTCCAAGAGGTAGTCTTGCACGCTATAGGGCATAATAGCAAGGTAGTTCAATGAGTTCTTCAGATAGAGAGTCCAAGTTACAGAGGTGCACGGGGTGTCAGACACTGAGACACTAGTTCATGTGTCTACATAGATTGTAACCCCTCTGGGTTACGTAATAATAAATATTATTCTATGTATTCTTTAAATTAATAATGATTTACCTCTGTACAGTGGGTGGACCGTTATTTTTGGCTGCTTGTTTTGGATTCCAGAGCTTCAAAGCACAAACTTGAAGTCACAAGAATTGGTGAAGTGGTGCACAATAGTTCCCAAAGAATGAATATGAAAAAATAAAACCAAAAAACAAAGTTTCAAAATTTGTGAAAAATAAAAAATAAAATTTATTTTTCTCAAAAGCTTTGAAAATCATTTTGGGGGATTGAAAGTGCTGAGAGAAAGGAAGATTGGGATATTAGAAAAATGATTATGAATGAAAATTTTGGAAAAATTTCTTTCCAGATGGCTTCAAAGAGCTGTTGAGTGGGGCATTCACCAGCCCACATTGCAGCAAAGCACTAGAATTTACTGTTTTGGCTCCAATCTGGACAACCAACCTGGACAAACCTTTTTTGGTTCCAATTTTTTTCATTTATAATCATTCTTCCCATGTTCCACTCTTTCTTTCTCTCAGCACTCCCACTCCCCCAAAATCAATAACAAAGCTTTTGGAAAAAAACATTTTTATTTTTTATTTTTCACAAATTTTGAAACTTAATTTTTTTGTTTTTATTTTTTCATATTCATTCTTTGGGACCTATTCTGCACCAATTGACCAAGTCTTGTGACTTGGAGTTTGTGCTTTGAAGCTGTAGAACCCAAAACAAGCAGCCAAAAATAACGGTCCACCCACTGTACATATTTATCTCTCTGTGGATAATTAATGTACCTCTCTCATGAAAATAATAATCAAATTGAAAAGGATAATTATCTCTTGTGTTTATCCAAGTGATTATCATCCTGTTTATCTCTCTTGTGTATCTCTCTTGTGTATCTTCTGAAATAAGAGAGATAGTCAACACGCGTACATTTGCATGTTTGAATATCTTGACACTTTCCCCCAAAGGAATAGTGTAACAATAAGGGGACTGCACGGGTCCAACAGGCAGCCTGAACCCTGCCTTGCAATACTTAAGGGGAAGGCTTTCCCTCTAGGATTCCTTCCCCCAGAGATTATTGCCATACAAACCTGTGTACCTTACTTAATATTAGTGAGTGGGGTTTTAGCAGTACACTCTCCCTTTTCTCTTTACCTTCCATCTTTATCCTTATTATACTAGCCTAGACTACAATTAAGTCACTACTGTATTCTAGAAGAGAGCCTCTTTTGATCTGCTCTAAGCTTGGTGGGGTGATGCTCATTCCACTGTCATCCCCTCTAACCCAGGGAGCTAACCCCTCTGCTTTCTAGCATTGAGGTGAGGTTTATTTCCACTGGCCACCTCTGTGGCTATAGTGTGACCCAATACCCTATCAACTCCTGGTCACATAAGAGACCGGAGCTGACACGGGGGTACCGGCAACAGCTGCCAATCTTGAATTTCTCCCGCATGGCAAAAGGGGTTGTATCAGTTACACCCCCCTGCAATAACGTCACCCAGAGGCAACCAATACAAGATTGGTCTCCTTGACAAATTTTATATCCGTTGGGCCCACCATTACATTAGAACAAAGGAAATATGTATTGGTGGGCCTGGCCGATATAAAATTGGTCAAGGAGACCAATGTTATATTGGTTGCCTCGGGGTGACGTTATCCCAGGGGGTTGTAACCAATACAACCCCTTTTGCTGTGCCGCGGCTTTGCCTAACCAGCCGGTACCGACCAACGGGGGGGGGGGGGGTTACTCTGTAGATTAGTAATAAAGCCTCGTGGGGCCCATTTCTTAGCTAGAGATTTAGTTGAACGGGGGTGGATGCTCTAAGCATATTAAATCCTAGGAAATAAGTTTAAAATTTTGAAAAAAAGAGATTCAGGGTGCTGAATTGGAGAAGGAAATATGGCTTGAAGTTGCTGTTGTAGGAGCAAGTGATCTGTTATCAAAGAGCAGGGGGCAAAAAGATCCTACAAGGTTTGGCTTTATATAATTGGTTGGAGAGCAAGATTGTAAGAAAAAAGAGGTTGGGATAGAAGGAGGGAATGAGGTAAAGTGGTGTTGGTTTGGCACAATGAAGGAAAGGTAGGGTGGCGTTGTTGCTGTTGTCAACTAGGGATAGAGTAAGAAATAGGGCAGAAAGCTTTGCTTGGCAATAGATCTGCAATAATCTTAGGGCTTTTGACTAAGCTAGCAGCAGTCTAGGACTCTGGCAAGGAAGGAATGTTGCTGAGGATGTGAGGATGGAGAGTGCGGCCTGTGTAGATTATTAGGGATAAGTGGTAGGTTGAAATTAGATGGGATGCTGATCCAGACAAGGACAAAATTAGAACAGATCTTGGTTAAAGTTGGATCTAGTGGAGTTTGGGTAGTTTAAGATTGGAGAAGCAGAAGGCAAAGTTGGAGAATTTGATTCAAAGTGAGTTCTATAAGTCAAGGTCAATGAATCATAAAAAATTCAGTGGAACCAGAAAAAAAAAGTGTAAGGATTGTGTTTCAATCCTTGACAGTCTGTTGGAAAGGCACTAGCAAGGAGCACATTAGCTCTGGAGGGGATGTTTCTAGTACCAAAGTGGATTTAATTTCAGTCTAGACAGGAGAGAAAGATCTCTTGTTTAGTATACACAAGTGAAGGAAAAATCAGAAAGGAAATAAGAAGCAAAGGAAGGAAGACAGGGTACTTACCTAGACAGGAGAAAAGATCACTGCTCTTGAGGTGAAGGGGGAGAATGAGACTATATATAGAGAAGAACTAGGCTTATGTAATCTTGTGACATGTTTGGGTAAGCCTGTGAGGAGCAGGGCTTACACAAACAGTCACTCATCCAGACATAAACCAGTCTAAACAATCTTGAACTCTTCCTGATTCAATTTCTACATCTATAACTTGACATAGCAGGGAGAGAAATGGGAACGGATTTTGGTTTGAGGGGAAACATGGATGAATTCCGAAAAGAGCTCTATTGCCATTTACTGAGACTTGTGGTCCATGCTCAAGATATCTATGTAAGCAGCTTTGTGTTCCACCAAAGCTGTAGCCAATTTGTAACAAGAGTTTCTCTTTTTCTGATGCACAATGTTTGTTACAGCTATTCAAGTGATTTTGCTAGGACATATGTAATGATCAAGGACAGCAGCTTCACACCAAACTTGAATCCTTTCTGAGACACAAACAAACCATCAGACTCCAGGGGGTCTGATTCCAACAGATCTAGTTTGACTGCTGATTGCGTTGGAAGAAATCTGCACTATCTATACATATTATCTGGCTGATTGATCTGGTATGTGTCTGCAGCTCCTGCAGAATCAGATGATCCAGACCCACCAAGATCAGTTTTTTTTTGGCAGTGAAATCTGGGTCAAAGGGTGCCTAATCTGGCTCTGTAGGGGCTACAGAACAACGGCAAGAGGTCCGTTATGTATTAGAATTGCTTTTACAAATCTCGGCCTGGATTTAACTTGAACCCCTGTTTTATGTAAGCAGCTAAAAAAAATAAAGTGAATTGAATATGCAACCTCCGACTCTCGAAATTTGGTGGTAAAACTTCAACAGCAATCCTCTCTCAACTTCCTACAGACAAACATTAAAAAGGATGGAAGCCTCACCCTCAACGAGCCCACCCACCCCTGCCCAAGAACGCCCGCCGGCGCGCTCGAAGACATGTGAACACTGCCAGACGACGGGATCGAAGTACACCTGTCCGGGATGCGGGACCCGGACCTGTTCGATGGACTGTTCGAACGGCCACAAAGCGTCGAAGAACTGTTCCGGGAAACGCAACCGGGTCGAATACGTCCCACTCAACCAATACTCCTGGGGACGACTGATGCAAGACTATTCGTACCTCGAGGAAATCCATCGGCATCTCTCCCACCATCCTCCTCCATCATCCGTCTCTAATATTCCGAAGCCCGTCGGTCCCCCGCTTGGCCTGACTCCCCCCTCCCGTAATTCGATCGCTAAACGCCAGCTCTTGGTTCGGATGGCCGCACTCGAAGCCGTCCGTCTCCTCTTGATGCCCGACGGAATGTCCAGACGAACAATGAATATGACGAATTATAATCACAAGTTAAGATGACTTTCTTACTCTCTCCAAATCATCCGCTTACATTCACATCCCAACATACACAAAAAGGCTGATTTCATCTTCTTTCTTTATGGTGACTTATTTCATTGCAGGAAGAAGTGTATGCAATGGTCGGTCGAGTTAGTTTTTCCGAGCGACGAACAAACGCAGGAAGCCGTTCCCCAACCCACTTCCCAAGACCGATCCTCATCATCCTCCACACTAACACCACCACCACCACCGACGACGCCGACGGTCACTAGTAACCAACACACAAGTCATCTGATCCACCAGATATCCTCGGACACCACCATCATCGAGCTGGTGAGACGGACCCTAAACCTCAAGAAATTGCAGATGTCTCCCGGCGAGAAAGCGGCGGTTATTGGAGTTGGTCGGGCGGCAAGAACAGCGAGAGAAAGACAAACAAGACACCCGAGACTCGGACGAAAAGCCGAGATGGAGAAGGAGGAGGCTCATCAAAGAAGACGAGTAGGATCGAAAT